GGAAGCTATAACAACCAGAAGGATGGTAGTAGCAAATTATCCTTTATTCACTAAGCATGATCCTCCATAAGTTCTTTTAGCTTATCTTAGTATTTATAGGTATGAAGGGATAAACCCTTTTGTAGACCCTACAAACTTTGTTGATGGTCCTCCTAATACTCTTCACAAAAGGAAAAAGAAAACTAAGAAGATTCAACCATCTATGGAAATGACTACCACAAAAGTCTCTACTAAGTCTTCTCTACAAGCAACATTTCTTCCTCCCTCTACCAAGCAATCTAAGAGTACTAATTCACATAGAAGATTATTTTGTTTCCAGGATGACAATGAAGAAGATGAAGATGAGAATATGCACACAAATACATCACGTGTTGATTTATCTCTTCCTAGAATCTGGGTAAGTATATCTTTGTTGAGACTCCTGCTACATATGGTTATGGTTATGCTAATACTTTATATGTTATTGTTCCTAATATTGTTCCCACTTCATATATCTCTATTTTTAAAACCTTTGACACTATTTCCAAATCACCTCCTAAAGAATCTAACAAACCAACTCCCAGAACACCACCATCATCCCCACCTGACCAAACACAACCCGATACTCAAACTCTTATTGTAATATCCCATGTACACACTTCATAACCTCCTCCTCAACAAACCAATCCCTCATCTCAAACTAACTATGAAAATTTTACCGAATGTATGCAAAGTGATGAGTTTAGAACACTCGCAACCAAACTTATTCGCCTCCTCCCTCTAGAAATCACTACACCCTCACCTCCCTCACTTGGCTTTGCACTTGAACCCATTGATGATACCTTTTTGTCCACTTACATTCCTTTATCTAATGGCCACGAACCTATTTTCGACCAAGCATTTCTCTGAACAAATATTTAAGAGAATGTCCCACCCAAACTTTCCTTTGATGAAGCATTTCCAGAAGTGGAACCACAAATAGTAGAAAGTCTCAACTTTATGAAGTAGTATGCTACTGAGTGTGTAATTCCTACTGAGAGCGATGCATTATGACACAGATACATAATCTGGATAGTTTATTACTCCAAGATCCTCAAATAACTATTTTATGGTGTAGTATTCAATAATTTTTTAGCTTAGTTCTCTGCAGCTATGATTCCTATTCTGGAAATCAAGAAAGTTGTTGAAGAATCAAAAGCTAGAACTTCAATTTTGAAGCTACCTTCACTCGATTCAGTTCTTCTTCTTGAGGGGCCAAGGTTATATTTTCATCATGAGACTAGAATGTCTTCTTCTATGCAATCAGTTGTCCCTTATGAAATTATGAGATCATTGTATGACCTTAAGAAAGAAAATGAGGAAGTAAGGTCAAGGTTGGATTAACAAGATGAAATTTTCAGGGCCGAAGCATTGACAAACGATTGAGGAAATGTTTCCAACCATTTTATCCAGACTACCACCTCCACCTTAAATTTTTTTTGATATATCTTGTTTATCTGTTTTTATTATTTTGTATGTTTTTCTTCTTTCTCGATCAACATTAGTAATTTTTAATGTTATCTGTTTTTTTGATTGATGACAAGAGGGGGAAACGGTTAAACAGGTAACCATATATGATTTTGATTCATTTTTATCCTATGATAAATCCAAAACATTTAACAATTATGTGGACTAATTTATGAGATTATTGTGCTTATTGAATTTTCAGATAAATAAATTTTTTTCCTATGTCTTAACTTAGGGGGAGCTTACAAACCTCACTCTGTTTACTTAACCTAAGAAAATTTTGGAGGTTTAAAACTCATGGGGAGCTTACAAACCTAACACTGATTTTTAGTTGATTATTTATTAAGTAACAATTGTTCATCAAAATACTCATGTTTGTCATCATAAAAAAAGGGAGATTGTTTGAACAAGTTTGATTCTACATCTATAATCCTTAACTTTTTATGATAACAACGTATAGAAAATAATTTTGTACACTAACAGTTTCATTAAGTGTGCAAAATCTCAAGATAATAAAAGCAGACTCTGAACTCTGGACTCTGGACAAAGCATACTCTAGATTTTGGACTTCAACGTATTCTAAAACAAAATTTAAATATGAATAAGTATTCATTTGATAGTCAATCATCTAGATAACCAAGATAACACCTCTGCAACAAATAATTCATATTTACTCTAATAATTTATGCCTCATTTTCACTAGTCTCTGAAGTCTAATCTCCAAGGCTCTTTACTCTGATTAAGCTTCAAATGAAGCTAATGATTTAGAGAATAATAATTGAAAGAATATTCTTGTAGATAGTACATTCAAGCGGAAAAATAAAACATTCATTTAAAAGGAAAAATATATTGGAATTCTTAAGGAACGTACTACTAATAGATCTCCATATTTTACGGCACAACCTCATACTATTATTACAACCGTAAAATTGAAGAAGTTTCCAATTCAATCTTCCAAAGATACTATTCATCGTCTATTTATAGAGACGGGGAATTTTAAAGAATGTGTGTGTGAAACAAAAAGGAACGATACAATACAACAAAATAACAATTACAACACTCCCTACACTTAGAGTTATTTATTGTATATTTTCTTAAGTGTAAATTTTGAAATTCAGTGTGTATGCTTGTTTAGAAGCATTCTTGTAAACACACACTAGTTGTATTTTAACTTTAGTTAAATTTATTGAGGGACTAAGTTAGATTGTATCCTCGATAAGTCATTGAAAATTAGTCTTTGAGTTTGTAATCTGAATGATTAGTGGATTAAGTCTTTGTGAAAAGACAAAATCACTCTGACGAGTAAAATAGATTAGCTTAGTTAACCTATTTCTTATTTTCTTGAACCTTCAATTAGTAATATTAAGGATGATTGGATGTTTAGTAGAAAATATTATAATTTTTATTTATAAATAGTAGAGAAAATAAGAAATTGTGATTGGGTTTGGGGTGGGGGGATCGAAACTGATTAAAATTACGACATTGAATAGATTTTTTTAAGAGTTGAGGGGATTATTAGAATAAATAAAAATTAAAATAGAGTTTTTATTTAAATATAGAAGGAAAATAGAATGAGGGAGCTGTTTGGTGAAAATAAGTTATCAGCAAAGTAAGAGAAAAGTCATAGCGTAACAAAAATAATAGAAAACACTCCACAATTGTAGATTCAGAGCTTTGTTAGACGATAACAACTTATCTATCGGGAAGTGAATAGATCCCCAAAGTAAATATTGTCTTATAAAATTTTGTTTTGAAAAACTATGGCAAGTGAAAGATTAAGCATAGATCAAACAAGTCGTCTAAACCGAATCGACTATTGAAAATTTAAATATGCGTTTGAAACTAAATGGAATGCAAAACAATGATAAACTATTAATACAATATATTCTAAATTAATCGTTTTATTATGAACACAATGTAAACTTATTTTCAATGAAATTATTGATAAAACGTAAACTAGAAAATTATCGAACACTTGATTTGCATTCGATTTTTCAGATTCTGCTTTGAAATTTGTTGATATGAAATACTACTTACAATCTAATTGATTGTAATGTAATCAACAAAGTAATTTCAAGTATAGCTATTTAGAGGATTTGTCTATTCGTATCGATTACACAATCAATGAATTTAATAATTTGGTATATAAAGTATATAGAAGCAAATGAGAGAGAGAGAGAGAGAGAGAGAGAGAGAGAGAGAGAGAGAGAGAGAGAGAGAGAGAGAGAGAGAGAGAGAGAGAGAGAGAGAGAGAGAGTTTGTTTAGAATGTTCACCAATCGTCCTCGCTATGGCTACGTATGTTCCTAATTTTGTTTGGAATTAAGATATGAAATTCTTGCTTTGCAAAACAATGTTTACAAGAGAAATGTAGCAATCCAACCCTACAAATCAAATGTTTGATGTTGATTCTAACCCTTTCTCTTCCCTTGATCTTGAACTCGACCAAATATCTCATTATACCAATTGATTCTTCATCTCACGCTACTCATTTGCAAGAACCACTGTTCTTCAAAACTTCCACTCGATCAAATCCAATTGCGTATTACTGTGTTCCAAGATTTCCAAACGATTCACCGTCTCAAGCTACTCCTTTGCAAGAACCCCTGTTCTTCAAAGTTTTTCATTCAATCAAATCCACTATTTGTGAAATCTTGTGTAAACCCCCAAATCAATACTATGATCTTGGAGGACAAACTCTAAAGTTTCTCTGGATGAAACCCCAAAAATTATCAACCCAATATACTGGCACACCAACATAAATTGAACATTATTAACACTTGTCTAGATGGCACCCAAACAAAATAATTGTGTAATTTGTTTGTGTATATGTATAGATTGAAGGTTGAAGATAAAGAGAAATTTTTGTATGTGTTTATAGTTTCATCAAATTGAAAATAATACATGTATGAAGTATTTATAGGTGTGCAAATTGAAGGGGAAAAAGAAGACTTAGAAATTGAAAAGAAATGCAATTTTCAGAAAAACTACAATATGTGTCAACACATGTAAGGACATGCGTCAACGTTCAAGATCATATGTCGACACAGAAACAGAAGCTACAGACTTTAAAAATGAGATAAATGTGTCGACCTAAAAGTTAGATGTGTCGACACAAATGCAATTCTTTTAGTATGTGTCGACCTGAGGAGATGTATGTGTCGACCTGAGGAGATGTATGTGTCGACCTGAAGAATTGTATGTATCAACACATAGAAACAAATCCTATAGGCTTCAATAATGATCTACATGTGTCGACTCATATATCATAATACTCCTTTCACTCCTTGAGTTACATCTTGTTTCTTGTAATATAAGTTACATTCATATAGTTCAGTGCAATGTCTACAAATTCACGACCACCCCACCCACATTTGACATGTTATTCCAAAGACGTACCAAGTCATTACATAAATGACAAACTGTAAACCTATCCTATAGGTAGCACAGCCATGACTCTTCACTGAAAATTTAAATTAAAAAAAAAATCTAAACAAAAAAAAACTAAGGCAGTCGTCAGTCAGAATCTTCATCCTCAAAAGTAGGAATTCTACGAAAGCGAGCCAAGGACCGATCATGTTGATGTATATTTTTATCGGGCATTATTGATCTTTTTCGCTTGGTTGGAAAACCACATCCTGAAACTGAATCATATAAGCCTCCCATACTAGTCTCCTTTCTAGAGTTTGCACTTTCATCCACAATGCTGCAAAACAATCCCCCATCAATGTCAAATGAAATCAATTAAAAAACAATCACTTGATTACATGCTCTCAAAAGTACATTCAATGTTCAAGAGGATTTTTAAATAAAGCCTTAATTCCACATGAATGCCTTTATGTCTAACACAGATCTCAAGCAAGAGCCCTTAGAGCTTGACGCGAGTCGAGCATCAAGTTGTCACTTACTTCCTTCTCTCTTAAGATGACATATGGTTTGTTGATTTGAAATTTCATGATATTCTATTTTGCATTCAAGTAAATTTGATAGCATTAGTAATTCAATAACAACATTATCATGGGTAGAACTGGTCAGCAGCAGACATCCTTCTAACATTAGACCAAACTATTGCAGGAGAACAAATATGAGAGATTGACAAGAAAACAGTGACATAAAAAGTTGTTTTTGTAAAATACTCCTATTAAAAGAATCACATTAACATACTGTTATAAAAAATTACTAGGAAAGGGAAAGTGAGATAAATTCAATATGCATTCAGAGAAAGGTTATTAGCAATCAAGAATGGTCATACCGTTGTCGAATTATTTGAAAAGCTTCTTTTGTAGCGTATGGCAGCCCAGTCTTTGGATCACGGTACCTGTATCAAAAGAGAACTTGTTAACAATATCTGAGGTACAGTGGGAATAGATTAAGGAACATATTTGAACTAAACTACTAATAATCAATGACAATCACAGCATAAAGAAGAGTCCATATGATGCAATTCGGAAAGAGAGAGGAAAAAAAAAAGGAATCAAGAGGAATTGTAATAAGGGGGGAACCATAATGCTGTTTCGGCAAGTCAAGTCTGAGCAGAGAAGGAAATAGAAGGGAAAAACAACTAGAAATTTAGAGGATGAACAGAAGAGCAAGCTAGACAACATGCCTAAAGTTTGACTACAACAAACACACTAGAAAGCAAATTTGATGAATAATGTATAAAACTCATTAAGTGATTATTTCATCCAAGGAAAGTCACTAAACATAAATAAACTGCATCGAAATAACAAAAATAAATGCCCAAACACAACATAACCAAGGACTTCAAAATCAGAGAAGAAAATCCTATGGTAAAAGATATATATTACTTACAGAGACAGCTTACTAATATTATAGGACTCTAATTTCTAGCAATTTACAGTGAACTATCAGATATCAGAGAAAGTAATATAGGGTTGGGCCGAGGGAAAAATAAATTTGGATTTGTAGTTCTATTTTTTTGGTATACAGAATAAATACTCGTATTCTTCATCATAACGAACAAGAATTGAGTTGCGTAGGAAATAATAAGTTGGATACATGATTGATAAAGATGTGTTTACACTTGACCAAATTACAACTTAACCATTACAAAAAGAGTTAGAGAAAACCTTCACTGAATCACCCTTCATAATGTTTAAAAAACTCTAACAAAAGGCAATAAAGAAACCATCTAGACTATGAGCATCTTGATCCACAACCCAAAAATCCTCCTGATCATACCTCTCCAAATATTTATCCTTACGATTTCCAACTAAGAGAAATCCATAAAGCCTAGTAGTAGTAACTTCATCAACATTAGAGCTTATTAGAGTATATCAGAGCAAGTTATATTAGTAATGTGTAACTGCCATCTGGCAGTAGGATAGAGCTAGGTAACCTGCTACAGGATTGCTTCTATAAAATGCAATATGTAACTAACTAATCATTTGAATGAATTGACTGAAATTCTGTTATAACAGAAATATGAAAAGCTCAAGCATAGCTTTCTAACATGGTATCAGATTGCTAATCCGATCTCCGGCCATGACCGCTACACTTCCGGCTTCGCCGCCGTCTTCCGCTCGTATCTCTAATAATGTGACGCCAATCGCGTCGTCTTCACCCAGCGATTTTCGTCATCTCAATTTCACTCTCAAGATCACACACAAACTCGATGAGAAGAACTTCCATCTATGGCGCCAACAAGTGGAGCCATATATCAATGCACACAATCTTACTGAGTTCGCTGTCTGTGCTCGCATTCCTCCGCAATTCGTCGACGATGCTGCTCGCATCTCAGGTAAGATCAATCCTGCGTACTCGATTTGGCTTCAGAAGGATCAGATGCTGTTATTGTGGCTTCAGTCCACACTTTCGAGTGAGATCCATTCACGAATTCTTGGATGCACTCACGCACATCAACTCTGGGATCGTTTGTTTAACTATTTCCAGAAGCAAACACGTGCTAGGGCACGCTAATTGCGAGTTGAATTAAGTGCGATTACCTTGGATAATCTGTCTGTGCAAGATTATCTACTCAACATTCGCACTATTGTTGATGCACTCGCTTCGATTGGTGATCCTGTTCCAGCTTTGCATCACATCGATGTCATTCTCGAGGGATTACCTGCAGATTATGCTCCTGTTGTTTCTGTGGTTGAAAGCAAGTTTGGTGTCATGGATCTTGATGAAGTTGAGATACTTCTTGTTGCTCATGAATTGCGCCTAACGAAGTTCAAGAAAACTACAGTTCCTGATGTAGTTTCTCTCAACCTTACACACACTACTCCAGCGAATCCTTCTCCTGGTGATGGTCATGTTGCTAGTTCAGACTCCACTCAGTCTCTTGTGCCACCTCCTACTTCTGAAACTGATTATCAAGCTCTCCGTGGCAGCTATGGTCGTGGTAAAGGCAAATCTGGAAGAGGTCGTGGTGGTAGGTCCTCAAACTCCACTATTCAATGTCAAGTCTGCACCAAATTTGGTCATTCTGCTCTTAACTGCTGGCACAGGTTCAATCAGAACTTTCAATCATCTTCCTCAGCTGGTAACAATTCTTATGGAAATTCTCAACAGCCATGGGATGGCTATGCTTATGGTAACAATGTCTGGACCAGACAACCTGTGATTATGAGGCCAGCATCTGTGGTGCAAGTTCCACCTATGCTCCAAGCTCCTCCCAACACCTTCATTGTTAACTCCATGCCCTCTCCATCTACCTCCTGGTTTCCTGATTCTGGAGCCTCTTTTCATGTAACTGGTGATGCTAAGAATCTGCAGCAACTTACACCTTATGAAGGACCTGACCAAATCTACATTGGCAATGGCCAAGGTTTGCCCATAGCTTCCATCGGTTCTAGTTCTTTTTCCTCTCCCACAAACACACACTCACAGCTTAAGTAAAGCATCTCTTACTTGTTCCATCTATTACCAAAAATCTCATCAGTGTCAGTCAACTTTGCAAAGATAATCATGTTTATTTCTTGTTTACTGCTAATGAGTGTCTGGTCAAATCACAGGGTTCTGATGCAGTCCTTCAAGGTCATGTTGGCATTGATGGACTTTATGAATTTCCTGCTATTGCTCTCATCTCCCAATCAGTCTTCCAGCTTGTGTGTCAGGTGTATCTTCCCTTAATAATAATACTTTGCCTAGTGTAAATCCTACTTGTATAGGATCTCAGCTGCCTAATGTTTGGCATCTTAGACTAGGTCACATCCTAGTGCGAACACTTTTAAGGCTTGTTCTTCAATCTTGTAATGTTCCTTTCCATTTTAAAGATGAAAGTTTGTTTTGTACTGCTTGTTGTATGGGCAAAGCTCAGAGATTACACACTGCACCCTTGGAATTAATTTATTGTGATTTGTGGGGACCATCTCCCAGTTTATCTTCTTCTGGTTTTTCTTACTATATGTCCCTAGTTGATGCTTATTCTAAGTTTACCTCGATATATCTCCTCAAGACTAAGTTTGAGGCTCTCAATACCTTCAAACAGTTCAAAACCATGGTTGAATTGCAACATGGCTATCCTATTAAGTCTGTACAGTCTGATTGGGGAGGAGAATTCAGACCTTTTACTAAATTCCTATCTGATCTTGGTATCATTCACAGGATTATTTGTCCTCATACACATCACCAAAATGGTGTGGTTGAGAGGAAGCACAGGTTGATCTTGGCCTCACCTTACGTAGTCAAGCATCCTTACCCCTTACCTATTGGGTCTATGCTTTTTCCACTGCAGTCTATCTCATTAATAGACTACCTTCTGCTTCCATAAATTTTCAGGTTCCCTATATTGTTCTATTTAAAGCCAAACCTGATTATCATTTCTTGAAAGTGTTTGGGTGTGCATGTTTCCCTCTTCTTAGACCCTATAATGCTCACAAGCTTGAGTTTAGGTCTCAGGAATGTGTTTTCCTTGGCTATTCTACATCTCACAAAGGATATAGGTGTCTTTCCCCTAGTGGAAGGTTGTTCATTTCCAAAGATGTTCTCTTCAATGAGTCTAGGTTCCCTTACCTTGAACTGTTCTCTTCAGCTCACACCAGTACATCTTTGCCTCAGAGTGTTACTTTGTCTCCCCTTCCCTTATCCTCTACTCTAGAACCTTCCTTGTCTACATCACCTACTGCAACTTCACCTTCCTCTGCACCTCCTTCAGTGCCTGCTCAGTCTGCTTCATCATCTTCTTCTGAGCAACATATTGAAACAGAATATGTACCTTATGTTTCTTCCTCTTATGGTTCTGAGTCAGCCAATTCTTTCCCTCTCATTCCTCCTAAAGCCATCACAGTTTCTCATGTTCCTGTTAAGCAGTTAAGCAGGCACTTGGTGATGAACAATGGAAATCTGTCATGCAGACTGAGTTTGATGCCTTGATTAAAAACCAGACTTGGTCCCTGGTTCCTCTTCCTGCTCACAGAAAAGCAATTGGTTGTAAATGGGTGTTTAGGGTTAAGGAGAACCCCGATGGGACTGTCAACAAATTCAAGGCTATGTTGGTTGCCAAAGAGTTTCACCAAAGACAAGGTTTTGACTTTCAGGAAACTTTTTCCCTTGTTTGGTTAAGCCCATTACCATCAGAATCAGTCTCACTATTGCATTAACTCACCACTGGACCATTCAACAGATTGATGTCAATAATGCCGTTCTAAATGACACCTCGACTGAAGTGTATATGGAACAGCCTCCAGGATTGGTCAGCTCAAATTCTTCCTTGGTCTGCAAGCTTCATAAAGCCCTCTATGGCCTGAAGCAGGCCCCCAGGCAGTGGTTTGAGAAATTACAAGCAGCACTGGTCAAACTCCAGTTCCAGGCCAGTAAATGTGACCCCTCTCTCTTTGCTTACTCCTCTAACAATCACACTATCTACATACTTGTGTATGTTGATGATATAATTATCACTGGTAGCTCCAAACCTCTGGTGCTTGACATCATCAACAAGTTAAATCTGACTTTTTCCCTCAAACATCTAGGTGAACTTGACTATTTTTTGGGGATTGAAGTGAATCATGCCTCCAATGGTTCCCTACTGTTAACACAGTCCAAATACATTAGAGACCTGCTGCACAAAACCAACATGCATGAATCTACTGCAGTCACCACTCCTATGCAGTCCACATGCAAACTTACCAAAACTGGTTCAATTCCACTGCCTGATCCTTTTCTCTACAGATTTGTTGTTGGAGCTTTGCAATATGCGACTATCACTAAGCCTGGCATTGCCTATGCAATCAATAAGGTGTACCAATATATGTCCCTCCCTCTTGAATCTCACTGGGTGGCAGTCAAAAGAATTATTAGATATCTCAAAGGGACTCTCAACCATGGCCTTCATCTATCTCCCTCTTTCCCCTCAAGCTGCTCCATCCTTACAGGTTTATTGTGATGCTGACTGGGCCTCAGATCCTGATGAGAGGAGAAGCGCCTCAGATGCAGCCATTTTCTTTGGGGCAAATTTTATTTCCTGGTGGTCAAAGAAACAACCTGTTGTGGCCAGGTCCAGTACAGAAGCTGAGTACAGGAGTTTGGCTCAAGCCACTGCAGATCTTCTGTGGGTCCAAACACTTCTGAAAGAGCTTTACATCACCACAAAATCTCCTGTGATTTTGTGTGACAGAGCAAGTTATATTAGTAATGTGTAACTGACATCTGGCAGTAGGATAGAGCTAGGTAACCTGCTACTGCAGGTTACAGGATTGCTTCTATAAAATGCAATCAGTTGTAATAGTTGTAACTAACTAATCATTTGAATGAATTGACTGAAATTTTGTTATAGCAGAAATATGAAAAGCTCAAGCATAGCTTTCTAACAGAGCTAGAACCTCTTGAACAACCTCTAAATACAAAACAAATGAATAATCATGATACACATCCCCTATATGTATTTTGTATCTCATCTTGGAACAGACCCACTGTTAATGCCTGACCTGCCTTATTGCCACATGCTACACAATTTGTACTATATAACCCCATCTATAAAAAATAATTTCCAAAGCAAGGTTCCATTAGCATTTTCCCATAAATATCCAATTTGAAAGGAATTTAAAATCCTAAATATATTCAACCAATTCGTCTATTTTTTTAAGATTAAATCTCTAACAAAAGAAGCCAAAGCCGAAAGCCATATATGTGCATAAACTATAATAGTATGGAAAATAAACAATTATCAAGTGGTTCCAAATTGCGCACAATGTGTCTCTCACATTCTAACCATGATATTGAAGAATAAAACAATATTGGCAATTGAGGCTCTTACTTGGCAGGCAAACCAGTAATCACACAAACAGCTTGTTCTGGATCTGAAAAGAAATAGAAACAGATCATATAAGTGAAAAAAACAATTGAGAAAAAAACAGTTATTTAGCTACCTAGAATTTCCTTAAGCTGGGTACTTTAAATTCTTTTCAATGGTCTCTCCATTGCTCTACTTCAACCGCCCTGTTTGGATACTATGTGTGACATTATTATCAATCGGACCTTCTGTCCTTTTGTAAAATAGACCCTAATTATCTAAAGCACTCAGCTGTGGGTATTCCTTCATACTTAATTCTTACTAGACTCTCATCCATCCATTCATCTATCATCCTTTCCTAACTCTAACTAAATTTGGTAAATGTTATCTTTGAACAACCCAATTTAAACCCCTTGGTCTCCGAAACATTTATGTTCAACTGTATCTTGTCATTTATTATTATTTCATCAGTCTAATCAACTAAATTGATACCATCTGAAACACGGCTTGTACCTAGGGCCGGTCCTTCATTTATTATCCTGTCATCAGCCTAATCTACAACAAGTAATAATAATAAGCGAAACAAAAATGTATTGTGAAAATCAATTCCAAAACAATTTCCCTGGGAATTCGATTTCACATATTGTATGCTTTATGTACAACAAAGAAACGGGATGTATAATATTCTTCAACATAAAAATGAACAAAATTATAGAGCTAGCACAAGAGGGACGCACATTCTTGAGGTGTTGTGGCAATATCTGAGTGAAATGACGCCCCTTTAGCAAACTCTAGATAATTACAACCTGGAAAAAACAACAGATTGCTATATGTAAAAAGACAACAACCAATATGACTGAACTTAATGCACATAAAAAGCAGCATCCAAAGACGCTGTTATTTCACTTTTTTTATAAAAAATATTACCATTTTGTGAAATGTAGTGTATCTGTGGACCATTATATACAGTTTTATGCACAATTGCTCTTCTCTTAACTTCTTCCTCTCTAGCTAAAACTCGCTCCAAATTCCGCAAGTTCATAATTTCTGCAGAGCCAAAAACATAATTGAAACACTGGTTTAAAAATTAAAACAAACAAGCAAGCAAAGATAATAATAAGTGAGTAGATGTTAAGTATTTATAATATCAACCTGTTTGAGCAGCTTCTAAAAGCATCTCCTCTTGTGACATTTTCTTCTCCTCACCTTCTTTCTTCCTTTTTATTACTGGCTGAGCCAAAGCAAAACCAAAAAATATATATTAAAAATTCATGCCATAATAATTACTCAAAATTTGATAACATGAACAATTGAAAACAATTAAATTTGAATTGACTTATTTGAGTTTACCTATTATTACAATCACTTGTGAAACTATTTGAGAAAGCTTATGTAAGCAGCTTATGACATGCCCATAAACTTTTTTTGGCTTATTTTCACAAGCTCTACAAAATAGCTTAAGAAAACAATTTGACTTTATATTATCTTTTGTTATAAAAAAAGCTTATTCATATTATATGATACCTACACACTTGAGCTATGTTTGGATTGTGATGGAATGAAAGAAGATTATGTTCCATAGTTTGGATTGGTAAAAAGAGGATGGAATAGAGCGAACATGATGAAATGCATTTCATCCAATTCCATTAATTACCCTCATTTTTATTCCTTCCGATTTGGGTGGAATGACATTTTTGTTACATTCCATCCCAAAATATCCAAACAATCCAAACAATGGAATGGAATATTCATTCTGCTCTGATGTGTTTCACTCTATTCCACTCCGTTCCATTCTGCTCACATAGTCTAATATAAACACTTAATTAAGCTGATTATACAAACATGGCCTAAACCTAATCACATGGACATAGAGGAGTAGTTACCTTGCTGGTTGCTTGGATAGCTGCACGAATGGCTTCTCTTTCAGCTTGCCGCACAATGACGGAAGTTCTAGTGGACTTCCTAACCATTATCTCCTTTGCATCATCATGGTGCTCCCCAGAAACACTAGGTTTATTGTTATTATTATCATCTTCCTCTTGATCATTTTTTACCGAATTTTCCAAATTAGATAAGATTTTCTTCTTTTTCTTCTTCTTAGCCAATGTCTTCCCCGGAACTATCAATCGCTTCTTCTTATTCATTCTTTCATCGGCATCAACCTGAGGTTGTTCCTCATCAGGTTCAGGCTCCTGAGAATATGAACAAGAATGAAAAATTAGTTTAATTCAATCAATTGTGAACAAGTTTGAGAGAGAGACATTTACGTACGTCTTGGTCGAAATCGGAGTCGAATTCGTCGGCGATTTCCGCTTCCTCTTGGTAGTTATCGTCTTCTTCTTCATCTTTGAGAGCATCTTGGCCCCAGAACAATTCGTCTTGTTCGACTTCGTCGTCGAGAAGCTTCGAGAGACGTTTACCTCTGGTTGCTCGAGATGCGCGATCGAGGAGTAGAAGAGCCGCTTTCTCGTTTTCCTCCATTTTCCGAATGAACTCTGCTCTGCTTTGGTTTAGTGTTTACCCTTACGCCAAATATTCTGCAAACAGATCCCTGCACTCATCACTTCGCGAGTTCGCACGTTCAGCTCATTAATAACCGTCTGATAAATTACAAATTTTATGTTTATTTTATTATTTCAAATACCAAACATAAATATTAATCGTCCGATCTTGATTGAACGCTCAATATTACACCAAAGCGTCAATGCGTCACTATAAGAAAATTTAAAATATGTTTTTTATTTTATTTTTAATATGATATTAGATTTTTCTATCTTTACTTTTTAATAAGTTTTTATTTTATTTTTTTTTAAAGAAATTCTCTTTAAATTGTGAAGTATATAATTTTTATATATTAATATATCATAATTATATATTAGACTACTTTAATCTCTTCGTCATTATAATTCTCTATTTGAAAAGCTTTGAATTAAGATATCTTCGATAAATATAATATTTTAAAATTTGAATTAATTATTGATCTGATCAAATGATTGAGTTTGAAAAGCTTTGAACTAAGATATCTTTGATAAATATAATATTTTAAAATTTGAATTAATTATTGATCTGATCAAATGATTGAATCACTCTGTTAGTGGGTTATTGGTTAGACCACATAATTTTTTTCCAGTTTATATAAATTTAAAAAAAAAATCATAAAATAAATTTTTTGATATAGATTTCATAATTATAAAATCTAAAAAAAAAAAGCAATAAATGTATTCATGTAAATAAGTTGAATAATAATTTTAAATAAAATTCTAACTTTCAAACATAACAATATAACAATTTCTTGACGTTTATAAATTTACAAAACTTAAAAAAGTAATTATATAATTTAATAATACTATAAACTAATATATAATATAAATAAATAGTATGCTCTACATAAATAATTGAAATTAGAGTAGAAAAAATAGAAAATAATGTGAACATTTAATTTCATCTTTCTTTGCTAACATAAATATTTTTTTCTTCAAATAATGAGGCTTACATTTTTTTAATGTGAAAATATAATTTCATTTTTTTTTATAACGTGATTTTTTTTCAAATCGTTTGTTAATTTAAATATGATTATATCGGATAATTAATTTTTTAATTTTTAAACTTATTATATAAATATTGTATGATAAATAATAAATAATTTTATAAAAATAAATTAGAGAAAAATATTGTAATTATAGAATATATAATTCTCTTTTCTTTAACTAAATTAAACATCAAAAAAATTTATAATTTATGTGGTAAAACTAGGATCCAAATAGTTTTGAAAGGCTACATATTTTGACAAAATTTAATTTTTGCAATTCTAAAATTATTTAGTATTATAAATAATTAACATAATTATAAAAAATAATAAAATCAGATTTTAAAACAAGGACACTAAAACTTTAAAAAAAATGAAAATATGTGATCAGAATTATAATCTACTTTAATATATAAAAAGTAATTACCACCAAATTTAATTCATTATCCTAACTAAAACATTTTTAAGATTGTTTTCATGCCCCTAAACGTAATTATATAAGTTAATCATTACTTAACAATTAAACGTTTCATTACTTCATATTATTTAATACATTCCAGTATTCCATGTGAAAAAACTCTTCCATTACCACAACTTTTATTTGATACTCTTAGAAACTTGAACGTTACATGAAAAATAAACAATATTTGAATTTTTATCTTGAAAGAATCACAACCTTTAGGATTCCAATGTCCTCCTTCAATTGTATATAAAATATTAAAGGTTTCCAAGTCCTACACTACATCTCTCACAATTTCTTTTTCTTCACAACAACATTTGTCATACGGTCTGCAATATAATCCTTTTTCATCAATCTCTTACCGAAACCCTAAACAATATTTCCTTTTCTCCACAAATTATACCATTTGTGATATACATGTGTCTATCAACTCGAAAAATAAAGACCATGCCCTAAAAAGTTTAATTTGTTTTCGTTATATGGTGGAGGCTATGTCGCGCAAATTTAATTTCATGGATGATATCAATGATTCCAAGTAAATCTTCTTCCGCCACGTTGATATTTACTTGATCTGGGTTTTTATTGTTGTTAATTATATTCATTGGTACATTATATTTCTACATGATATAATTGTATCAATAATCTGTAGATTTTTGGCAAAAAATTGTTATATTCATTTGTATCAAGTTTGTGTACAAGAAATATTTTATGCTCATCAACTGCTTTGCATGTTACATTCAAACATCGCTTTTGGGATGCAAATATTCTGAAATTTAGTTTTTTTTTCTTTTACTATGAATGCGTATATCATCAAAGCATTAGCATCATGTTCTTAATGTTCCCGAGAAAAATGACAATATGTGTTATGTACGAGGTTAGATTTTTAATTTTGATATCATTTTAGTTGTGAAACTAATTTAATTATGATATATTAATATATAAAAATTATATACTTCACAATTTAAACACTTATTGATGTGATAGAAGATAAGAGATATCATTCTTAGTTGAATGGGGGAGCGACAGTAACATAATTGATGTGATTTTTTGGTTGTTTTCCATATTGTTTTTGGTTTTAAAGTAGATAGTTTATTCTTTTGTTTCCATGAATAATTTTCATAAAAGATTTACCATTTGATGAGAAAATGTGACTTTTGTTTCTACTTGCTTACATCAAGTTTTTCTATTTTTATTGTTCTAGGGAGATGTTATTCATGGCAACTGCAGCCACGACTATATTGCAGCATGTGCTCTTTTTTATATTATAAGTTTTTTTATTTGTACTTTAGGTTAAGTAAGAAATGTAGTGACAAAGCACAATTGATGATGATGATGAAGATAATGTTAATGATGCATGTATCAGATGGACATGATACTTACTATACTTTTTATGAATATATTATATATTTCGTTAAGTTAGCTAATGGGTGTGTTGTCATAATATATTTCTGATTCAATTTATTAAATTTAATCAATTATTATCAATTTTAATTTTCTTTAGTAAACTAATTACTTTTTATGTAATTATATATGTTTTATTTTATAATCTTTGTTAATAAATAAAATACTCAAATTTTAATATTGTAGATCTGAATTTTATTTTAATATATAAAAATGATTACTATCATTTTTATAATTCCTAAAATTAGGGTTAAATAAATCATTATCGTTTTTTATTCTTTTTATATACAAAATTAATGTCATCGTTGGTCACGTCTATTACCAATGCTACTAATATTATTACTATCAAAATTAATAATATTATTACACAATCTCTCATCCTTCTCTCAATTTAGTTTTTCAAAGACGCAATAACATAATTAAACACCCACAAACTCTAATTTCTCATTATTTTTCAAGGCTACTAATCCAGACACTTTCAATCTTTTTGCTTATTTTTATACACAAATTAATGTTATTGTTGTCCACGTCTATTACCAAGACTACTGATATTATTACTATCCACTTTACATATTCCAACAAAAGACACGATGAAATGAAAATTAGAAAAAGAATCTTCTCTCACTCTTTCATTTCCTTTCTCTCTTTCATAATAAACTACTGTCCACTTTACCTATTCTAACAAAAGTCACGGTGAAAAGAAAATTAAAAAAAGAATCTTCTCTCACTCTTTCATTTTCTTTCTCTCTTTCATACAAACTTATCATTCAATTCATAAAAAAGAATCTTCTCTCACTCTTTCACTTCCTTTCTCTCTTTCATAACAAACTTATCATTCAATTCATATTATTTTCTAGAATAGACAATAATTTAATGACAATATGAAAATATAAATTGGATAAAAAATTGGATAGAACAATACAAATTTGACAATATAATTTTGTTCCTACTAAAATTGATTCAATAAATTAGTTACCAGTTAATTTTGGATTGAAAATAATTATTTATAATATACAATAAAGTTTGTTTTTATTTTAATTTTGACATTAATTAACTGTTTTTAGATTAAGTTAGAAATAAAATACTCAAATTTTAATATTGTAGATCTGAATTTTATTTTAATATATAAAAATGATTACTATCATTTTTACAATTCCTAAAATTAGGGTTAAATAAATCATTATCGTTTTTTATTCTTTTTATATACAAAATTAATGTCATCGTTGGTCACGTCTATTACCAATGCTACTAATATTATTACTATCAAAATTAATAATATTATTACACAATCTCTCATCCTTCTCTCAATTTAGTTTTTCAAAGACGCAATAACATAATTAAACACCCACAAACTCTAATTTCTCATTATTTTTCAAGGCTACTAATCCAAACACTTTCAATCTTTTGCTTATTTTTATACACAAATTAATGTTATTGTTGTCCACGTCTATTACCAAGACTACTGATATTATTACTATCCACTTTACATATTCCAACAAAAGACACGATGAAAAGAAAATTAGAAAAAGAATCTTCTCTCACTCTTTCATTTCCTTTCTCTCTTTTATAATAAACTACTGTCCACTTTACCTATTCTAACAAAAGTCACGGTGAAAAGAAAATTAAAAAAAGAATCTTCTCTCACTCTTTCATTTTCTTTCTCTCTTTCATAACAAACTTATCATTCAATTCATAAAAAAGAATCTTCTCTCACTCTTTCACTTCCTTTCTCTCTTTCATAACAAACTTATCATTCAATTCATATTATTTTCTAGAATAGACAATAATTTAATGACAATATGAAAATATAAATTGGATAAAAAATTGGATAGAACAATACAAATTTGACAATATAATTTTGTTCCTACTAAAATTGATTCAATAAATTAGTTACAAGTTAATTTTGGATTGAAAATAATTATTTATAATACACAATAGAGTTTGTTTTTATTTTAATTTTGACATTAATTAACTATTTTTAGATTAAGTTAGAAATAAAATACTCAAATTTTAATATTGTAGATCTGAATTTTATTTTAATATATAAATATGATTACTATCATTTTTACAATTCCTAAAATTAGGGTTAAATAA